ATTTCTCACGCAGTTAAGAGTTTAGTTTTATATAATTCAGAGCATGGAAAAAACGTGGAACACGAATATAACTAAGCGTAGCATCATGGTTTAAATTTTTATTCCATAAGAATCATGTTCCTCCATTTTTTATGGAGACAGCTGCATTTTACGCTTTGCGTTAGACATGTCGATCGATTTTGAATGAATAAATTAGGTAATTAAACAATCTCTATTTCACAACAAATTACAGTGGTGACGTAGAACAGTATGTTATTTATAAAAAAGTAAGTCAATGTGCAACAAGCGACCTTATCACTACGTAGCAATTTCTTCCAGCAAACTTTAGGATATAAATTTGGGATGTAAATATTTTATATTTTTGAAATTACACATTATTTTAATATGAGGGCCCACAGAAGACTAGCGTCACAGCCTTTTGGCGGCTGTGACATTAGCTAAGTGGATACTTTTACATGTCCTTACAGGTCCTTTATTTAGTCGAAGGCATTTTCCGTTTGATGTACAGTGAAATGCTCTTTGAAACACCCCGTATTAGGTACAATGTAACCCATCCGTCGGGAGGCGTCTGTCGTGGGGGGGCTTGGAAGCGAATCTCGGCATATTTCCCCTTTCCAAGAGGTGAAGTGTATATATTGCCAATAACGTCAAGCAAATAATATTATATATAGTCAATAAAGTTATGCCAATAAAGTGTACATTTATAATTCGTTATGTTTTATGATTTTAAAGTGTAAAGAAGGAACTATAAACAGCAAAATCAAATTCAAACAATCTTTACTTCATACGTGAGCTAATTAAAATCGTCGTACTGATTAAACTCTGAGCTGATCTGACTCTTAAAGAATGAGCAAGAAACTCTAGGGGTTGCTCTTTGTGAATACACATTTGAATACATTTATCGTTGCAATATTTAATTTAAACATCTTAGACCGAGACTACCTGCAAGAGCTAAACGGGTTGCTACCACGGATTTTTGTCATCCAAGTACGGTAGAAGCTATATAATAACCTTTAGTGTAAAGTTTTTGTTTCACTATAGTTTTAATCCTCGCAAATGGCAAATTTTGAATATCAATCGGAATCTAAATAAATTTAAGACAGTGCAGACGACTGTCAAGAACAGCTAGCTTATTTTTATTCTTTTATGTCTGTCACTATTTTTCATAAAAAACATATTTTATTGTTAGTTTTTTTTTTTGTTATAAAGCAAAACAAAACCTTGTAACTAATTACAATCTAGCCTAAAATGTAAAAGTAACTTAAACAAACTGTCCATCGACAAAATATCTTTTAATATTCGTTAAGGGGAAGACACTTTGTTTATGTGTTCATAGTCTAGTTAGCACTGGCACTAATATTTATTTTATTCACTATAATTAACTACACTAACTCAAAAGTTTTAGTTCTTTGTAGTTTACGCACAATATTCGTATTGTCTAGTAGCTGTATAGCTTTTATGTTTGCGTGATGATGAAGTCTATGTTCGTGAGTTACAGGCTCTATATCCAAATCATGATGCAGTTCATCAGCATCATTTCGTATATACCAAGGAGCACCCACCATTGTCCTCAGTATTGTATTTTGGATTTTATTGTATTGTCTATAAGTTACTTTTAGCGGCACAGCCCCAGAGCTGGATACCATAGGTCCACACTGGCATAAGGGCCTGTTTATACAATATTTTATTGCATACAGATAGTGAAGAACATTTACCAAATAGCTAATACATTTTCTTTAAACGTAAGTCTAATTCTTCTTTATTCTTCTTGATGTGTCTCCAGCGTAGCTTCACGTCGAGTGTCATACCGAGATATTTGGCGGTATTTGCGTAGGGTATTTTTGTTAAAGTCATAACAATTTCATAAATGTACCTTTCGGTCACTGCACCTTTCGGTTACACCCTATATTGAAGAAACTGTTAACAATCTAAAATCATTCGAACACTTCTTTTTTGTCACCCTTAGATGTGGAATATTTTCTTAAAATTTGGACCACTACAAGTACCCCTTTTCCAACTAAAAAGGTATAATCGAAATTGGCTCACAAATTCTAGACTAATCGCGTACAAAAACCTACAAAATATACTTTCTTTTTTAGTTTAAAAAGAAAAGGTCAATGAGATGCAAAATTGCAATTTGACTATTATCATACAAATATGACTGGATTATTTTGGACGTTTTTTAGTTTGCTGACATCAAAGTCAAAGTCAAAGATTATTTATTCCATAGGTAAAATAAATTTACACTTGAATACGTCACGTTTAAGCTACTGCTCGTTCACTACGCTGACCTCCCTGAGAAGAACGAGCAAGAAACTCTAGGGATTGCTCTTTTCAAATAAACTTAAATGCTATGGAATACACTTTGAATCAAATTTGTGTGGATTCTGGAGCCATGTCGTCTTTCCATACATCTTTATCTAACACGTAGTCTTCAATTTTGTAATATGATTTTTCGATCAAAATATTTTTAATGTAGTTTTTAAACTTAGGAAATGATAAACTTGATATATGCTCCGGAATCTTATTGTAAAAACGTATACAGTTCCCCATAAAAGAGTTGTTTACCTTGGTTAAACGAAATCGTGGTACCATGAGTTTGGACTTAGCTCTAAGGTTAATATTATGGATATCTTCTTTCTTATTGAAATTATGTATATTTTTACGGGCATATAAAATATTTGAGTAAATGTACTGTGATGCCACAGTCATGATACCAGTCTCCTTAAACTTTTCTCTGAGAGAAACACGAGGGCCTAGACGGTACACAGAACGAATCGCTCGTTTTTGCAATACAAATATGGTTTGAATATCTGCCGCTTTACACCACATGAGAATCCCGTAGGACATTATACTATGGAAGTAACTAAAGTAAACTAGTCTAGCAGTACTAACATCGGTAAGCTCACGTATTCTGCGGACTGCGTATGCAGCGGAGCTTAATCTGCTGGCTAGAGACGATATATGTGGATAACGCATTTTGCCTTCAACTTAGATTCTTAGCTCCGACATTATAGTAATCCAAACAACAAAAATGGCTGCGTTTCATACTCATCTTAACAATCTCAGAAAAGGAATTACACCATTCAGCCTTCAGTCGTCTTGAAAGTCTGGAATACTCCTTAGGATGATAAGTAAGTACTTATGTCGCTTTCTATACCACTCATACCCACTAAGCGTTTTGCTTCCTCGTTTTTAACGGACGTCAAAGAAATGGTACAATGCACTGCTGGTATGTGTGTTTTCTGAAGACTGCAATTTGGGGCTATTCAAAGCTAGAGTGAAAAGGCGTATCAAGACAAATGCCTACCATCCTCGGTTACAACGTCGCTTCACATTGTTGAAATTGTGGCCAAGGGTGTCAACAATATCCGTTTATGAAGCCTAAACTTTTAAATTGTTTCTGTTTTTGTATTTTTTACCAACTTCAAAAAAGGAGGAGGTTCTCAATTCGACTGTATGTTTTTTTTGTATTATGTTACGCGATAACTCCGGTATTTGTGAACCGATTTTTACGATTCTTATTTTGTTGGAAAGGGGGTACTTTCATAGTAGTCGTCCCATTTCATTTTGAAGAAAATCATTGACCTCGAAGGGTGGCTGTTCACGCGTGAAGATTCATTTTTATAAATAGCGCTTAACTTTAATTTAGGAGCAATTACTTTAATGGTTGATTTTGCTATTTTCTTCAAGGCGTTTTTCTCTCAATATACTTTGTGTAGTGTCGTAGTGAGAACCTATTTTTATTATCTTCAGTGTCAAGTCCTGCATAGTGGCGAACTAGGGGATATTTCAATAAAACTTAGCAAATAGACGTAATTCCACGTACTTTTGAGGTCGATTTTTTAGTACTCTGTACTGAGATTATATAATATTATTTTACAACTTTGGTGTCCCAGCGGTTTGCATTGCAGGCGCTGATTGAGGAGGTCCCGAGTCTGATATGACCAATTTAGGAATTGAATTTGTTTGAAATGGTTCTAGTGTAGGTGGTGTCCTGGAGTAAATTTCGTTGCTCTGGGATAATACAGAGAATTATCCAGATATGTCTATCATGATATGCAATTCTATTAACGTGTACGGCTTTTCCCTACGTCTAGACCATCGAAACATTACCTTTTCTATTTTATTTATTACATCGTCTTTCACACTACGCAAGACGCTCCCATATTACAATGTTCCTTATTCCGTGTAAGACTTATACCACACGACACTCCAATTTCAACAGCATTTGCTATATTTTTTCGTTACTTCTGCGCACTCACACACCTTTACTACGTTTTATGAACATGTAATCTCTTCTGTGTTGTAATAAAACAATGATGGGTAGTTAAAATTATAGAAAATACTCATTTCTTTTTGTTTCTTTTTCATTACTAGACAATCGATTACTTACCATATTTTTTTTCGAAAACGATTATCGGAAAAATAGAAATATTGTACTTGTATGTTGTCACAAGCTTAACATTGATGTTCATTTTATGTAGAATTACTTAATAAATTATTAATAGAAACTTGTGGAAAAATTTCACAAAAATAGTATAATGTCCTGGGGTAAACATCGTGACATTCGATAAAAAACTTAATAAAAAGATATTCGACTAAGGTTATTGAAGCCCAACTACAATACAATCGATCATTTACCAATCAATGATTATTATATCAATCTCACTAAGCTGAAAACATAATTAAGCTCAGGAAGATGACGTAATTCAGCCATGTCAAATGGAATGATAATTATAAATTGATCCAGCTTATCATTCAGAACAAAATCGCCAGATAACGAAGCGTTGGTAGATGGTGATACTCCTGGTTAAATAATTTGAAGGATTGGTTCGGCTGTTCCTCAAAGAGGTAGCCTGTAAACTCAGAGGTGACATTGTCCTACTACAGATAAGAGAGGCACCCCAAAAATATTCAATTAAGTATCGGTGTTGGTTTTTGTAAGAAATAATTTTATGGAAACCAAATGGAAGATGAAGTTTATGTGTTATTTTCAGGTGCCGTTGCCTCGTTGTCCTGGGTACTGTCTGCTAAACATAATGGCGGCTTTCTGTGAGCGACCAGCCGTTCTCGTATCGCACACGCACTGCAAGATGAGTGGTTCGATCTGCTGTGACAATACTAGGTACCTGGTTTGATTCTTTCCCATTTCAGGATCTTTGAAGACAATACATTCTAAAATAGATTACTGGAGGGATGGAACTTTAAAACAAATCTATAACCTAATACTCCGATAGCAGCTACTAGGCAATTAATTGCCCAATGTACTAAAATAGTAGTTTCATAAAAATCTATATTCGTATATTTCACAGGTTTTGAAATAAAACTTTCTTGCTAATTTCTCGTAGCTCCTAAGTTGGAATAGGTGGGTGTACCTTTTTACTGTTTCATGAAACGAACATTTCGACAATAATTAGTATAATTATTACATAGACAATGTATACTTCTGCATTTAGGGTACCACCCCGTACGACTCAAAGGCCGACGACGACTACGACCACGACGACCACACCAGCACCACCCGCGGACCCACGACCTGACTGTCCAGGATCTTGCATTGTGTCGCTGCTTTCTTTCACTTGCTTCCGTAAGTATCAATTAATGATTTGATGCTTACTTCCTTAATACTAATTCTGTGCCTTGTGTGGTCCAGTTATTGCGTCGGGATTCTGGGTTATTTTTGCATGTCAAAGGTGAGACCAAATGGTATGCCCGATGTCACCGGGATTTGGCTGTTGTAGCTATTAAAGTAGATATTTATCAACCTCGTGCAGTCGAGGTCTCGGCTGCATGAAGTTGATTACGACTTCATGCATTAATTGCAAACATGCAGTCAATCTATTAGCAGCCTAAGACACGTTTCTTTATCAATGAATTGGATCCAGAAATAAAATTGACAAATTTGTTATACCCAGGCAACGCAGAGATGACTGACGTTTTCAAGTGTAAGAAGATAGGCACCCAGTGCTGTGCACCCAAGTCCAAGATCCAGGAAGTGCTGGGCATCAAAGAGCGTAACGAGACCTACCCTCTTGCCACCAGTGCAGCCACTCAGTATACGCATTATACAACCGCCATTACACACACGACACCATTACGTAAGCAACTTTACCTTTCATTGCCTGTTACTCTGGTTATTGTTTCTTCGCTTCCGCATGACATCCGTTAATTTAGGAATGTCGGTTCCCTACTGAAACGCAGAAGTTTTTCTTTTCTTCTTACATAGTTTTGCATTATTTTACAACTGAACAATTTCCCCTTAAACTTAACATAATGGACTTAGCCCTCATTTGTTTCAGGCATTGACTTACAAATAAATGGACGACGGGTCTAATACAAAAATCACGAAAAAAATGTCCCAAGTCAACCTATTTAAACGTAGTGACATGTAAAGGAATATGAAAAAGCTAAAACGTTGAATCTAAATTATAATGTCATCGCAGTACTGTCTAATTTTGCTTGCTTCGCTGTCAGTCGAACAAACGAAGACTAAAGCGTGAATGACGCTCTGTATACGATTTTAACGCCCTATAAGTTCGGACACTTTTTAGCGCGGATCCGACGTCCATATAATTGTAAGGCAATGGTTTCAGGTCAAATTTCGATTTCAGAATTTGGGTTTTGTTACGACCTGTAGGATTTTTAAATGCTTGTTTCAAATTTCACGCCTCGTGATAGGTACCGTTTAGAAATTTTGCAATTTCGATGGATACCAAGAAAGCTACACTCGCTCTACTCGCTGCGCTTCGATCACAATTAAAATTGTGAAATTTTATTGATATGGTTTCTTTGGTTACAGCTTCATACGATCAGCCCAATTACGATTCAACATTAAGAGTTCCTGAGAAATACAACAAATACGTGTGTGGTGTCAAAGGTAATCTTAGAACGACATTTTTGTGAAATTAATGAATTTAATAAATTGCCAAAAGACCGGTCCTTAGTAAAGATATGAAGCCATTTTAAATGTGAATTACGCTCAGTGGACGGCTTTTAACTCTTCAAATTGTTATTTGTGATAGGGACATCATCTCGGACAGGACGCAGTCGAGTGGCGCGAGTGATGGGCGGTGAAGACGGAGAGCGAGGCGAATGGTGTTGGCAGGTGGCCCTGATCAACTCCCAAAACCAGTATCTGTGTGGAGCCGCCCTCATCGGCACACAGTGGGTGCTAACTGCTGCGCACTGCGTCACCAAGTAAGATGCTATGGACATTTACGGCAATAAGAAACTGTTTTCAATATTACAAACATCGCCCGTAAGATATGTCTTATTAGACTTATGAGATTAGACTTATGAGTCTGCTACTTGTGTGATGGCGTCGGCTCTGATTACCCTGCAATGGGAAAGATGCAGTAGGTTAATCGACAAATAGGACTATTTGCACTTGTTTTGTCTGGAAGTCTACTTCCAAACAATACAAATGCAAATGGTATGAGACCAGATGGTACGCCTGATTTCACTGGGATGTGTACCCAGTGACCTAAGAACTAAAACCTTCTACACTATTAGTTGTGTGCTGCTTTTGCTGTTGTAGCTATTAAAGCTCGATTGTACGTAGTTAATGCGTGAAATATTGTCGCACACCTAAGTTTCTCGGAATTTATCTGCGAAAGTTGATTTCTTTACCAGGAGATTTAACATCGTAATGCAACCTGTACGTCGAAGTAGGTGTACAAGCCATTGAGTCGACTGAACACAGTGACGCGTGCCCAGTAGTGGGCTGATGATGTGATTTTTGTCCTTTGTGAACAGATTATTTTATTTAATACTAAGTGGGGGCGAACAGGTCGTGCGAATGTTAATAAGCTACACGCCTGTCCATAACTCTTGCAGTGCCACTCAGAGCTTTAAATCGCAAAGATCTGAGGGTTACTGCCGCTGCGCCTGTCGTCCAGAGACGTAAGTTGACAAGTCCCAAGTGCTTGTAATTTCACCAGCACCCGTAGCCTTTAAATCTGGAACGCAGTAATGCTGACATTACTCCTTGGCCGCAGAAATAGGTAAGGTGTCAGTATTTAACTGGACGAACGCTTCCACATGGAGCTCTAATGCTAGTAAAAAATTTGTTCGCAGCATCGTGCGTTCCGGCGACGCGATCTACGTGAGAGTCGGAGATCACGACCTGACACGCAAATACGGTTCGCCTGGCGCACAGACCCTGCGTGTTGCAACCACTTACATTCACCATAACCACAACAGTCAGACCCTTGACAACGATATCGCACTCCTGAAGCTACACGGAAAAGCAGAGCTCAAAGATGGTTGGTGCTCCTTGATAACCAAATGTTTCAATGATTTTACTAGACCAATGTCCTTTTTTCACTTACCTCGCTCGTCTTTTGTTCTCTATGATTTTTTCATAAGATATATATATATTTAAGTTTAGATGACCACCACTTGGAAAGAGAACAATTAAAATAATAAATAAAATTGCTAAGGAAGTATAATTGGACGAGCGTCAGAACAAAAACCGATCAATGTATGGTTTACTAAAATTAAAATTGAACGACGTCTGCCACCTTGTTGGTATTAGTAACACTGTCTCGTAACCTAAATATTCGAGATTTAAAAAAACATGTTTCAAGTTATTGATCGGGCTATTTGGATTTATCGTCATTTGATATCACCGTACAGGTTTTTCTAAAAAAAGAAATCACATTTACTTTCTATTTTATTTACGAAATACAAAAGGCATAAATCATCGAGTATATAACCAGAAATAGAGACGAAGTAAGGGCGATATGTTCCTGGTAACACATTAGCGATACAGCTCTTATAAATATCAACTCCCGTTTGCACTGAAATATAGACAGGCCAACTACTGACCTGTGTGTACGTCTCCGTATATTAAAAAAAAATATTCTTCATTTATCGTAATAAAGATAATATCTCTAACATTGCCGTGCTGTTCTATTCGGTGGTGTGGGAAAAACAGCAAAACATCTAATTACAAAAGAAACGGAATCACATTTCATCGGGAATTAAATATTAAATATGTAATTTTGCAATTTTCGCCCATTATAGCAAAGCTCAAGTTAACTGGTCGATTTGAAGTGAAACAGTTGACGACACCCATTGACGACACCCGTCAATTGTTTCTAACTCGGGCTGGCCAATCGGAGCGCAGTTGTCACAGTAATGATTTGGCACAATAGTTTTCAAACAAATTAAATGACATTTCGTCTCTATTTCTGGTTATATACTCGATAGCATAAATAGTGATATCTCGGTTTTTGGCGCAATCTAAATAATAAAGTAAATAAGAAAAATATAAGGATTTATCGGTGTCTGTTCTGATCGTAAAATTGTTTCATAAAATTTAACGGATTTCTAGGTTTATGTTTAGATTCTATATTTTTGCCAAGTTTTTCAAGCGGATATAGCGTTTATTGAACTGGTTCGATAAATTAGGGTAAATGATATGTAAAAAAAAATACATTACAATATTTCAAGAGAGATCTCTATCTCTCTTTATCCCAACTCCCGAGACATTTTCCCTTCTTCTTCCTTTACAGAAGTATGCTTGGTGTGTTTACCGGCCCGTGGGGTCAGCCATGCTGCTGGTAAACGGTGCACTGTAACCGGCTATGGATACATGGGTGAAAGTAAGTATAATTATAGATCAGAAACCACGTCTTGTAGGCCTAACCACAAAATCCAATTAACCTCTTCAAGGAAGTTCGTATAATAGGTACTAAGGACACTGAAACTCCGTGAAAAAGCTTTTGAGGTTATAAATATATTTTTTAATATTGAGATTTTTTTGTGAAATCTCTCTACAAGTTTTATTATGATTACTAATACTGGCTGCGGCGCAGAAGGTTCTAATATCTCACACTAGATGTCACTAGTGGTTCAAAACATGTACTACAAAAATCTTTAACAAACACACATAGAAGAATTTCGGCAACTCGATAACCTGACCCGTAGCTCAGTTGGTAAATGCAATACTACGGTGCAGAATGATCTTGAGTTCAAGACCCATCGGGTCGAAAAAGCTTTTCTATGTGTTTGATCTTTGTATTAATAACCATAATATATAATAATAGTTTATGTGACTGGGTGTGTCGGTTTGTGATCATAAAAACATCTCACGAGTGTTTTAATGCCTAATTATGTGCAATTACATCCACTACTTTGTCTACACACATATTATAAGCTCTCTGTGATGTCTTCAGGAACCGCATGTTACGACTGGCGAAATGGCGGCAAATGAAAACTTTTCTCATGCATTTCACACAACCGTAGTTTTTATTCTTAATTCATAGACAAACTAGCATCGGCCCCAACTACCATGTCGTTCGATATCAAGTAACGTGTGAATTTGTCTACGGTTTCTGAAGAAAATGAATCTGAATTAAGGGACGCTCTTTCCAACAAAAAAAGAATCATCAAAATCGGCAAATGACGGAATAATTGCGTAAAATACAAACAAAAAACAAATCTGTCGAATTATGAACCTCCTCATTTTTCGAAGTCGATTAAAAACTTCATCTCATTTTACTGCACTGATACATCTAACTATAGCTTGCTCGGGAGGAAAAATGCAGGAAAAAAGTATTTGCTACATATTATTATCTCAAAAGAAAATTGTAGTTGTGTTCCTATAGGTACACGTTACGTATTTAAACTTATATTTTAGAATGCTTAGAAAATAAATAGTAAAAAAATGTATACGCATTAATGATAATACAGAGTACCTACTAAAAAAACCGACCTCAAAAGTACGTGGAAATACGTTTATTTGCTAAGTTTTATTGAAATATCCCCTAGTTCGCTACTATACAGGACTTGACACTGGAGATAATAAAAATCGGTTCTCACTACTCAAAGTATATTGAGAGAAAAACGCCTTGAATTGGAGAAATAGCAAAATCAACCATTAAATAATTGCTCCTAAATTAAAGTTAGGCGCTATTTTTAAAAATGAATCTTCATGCGTGAACAGCACCCTTCGAGGTGGATGATTTTCTTCAAAACGAAATAGGACCACTATGGAAGTACCAGGGGGTTCCAACAAAAAAAGAATTATCAAAATCGGTTCACAAATACCGGAGTTATCGCGTGACATACTTACATACAAAAAAAGAACATACAGTGGAATTGAGAACCTCCTCCTTTTTTTAAAAAGGTTAAAAAAATGGGTATGTCCTTACTAAGAAAACGTTCATACTTTCCGAATTAATACAAATTAACTCCCTTAATTCCGACCACCGATACAGTTATTTGACGAACACCAAAAATCAATCCGTAGCCGGGCCAATACCGCTCCGCGTTCGAGAAGCCGAGTTGCCAATAGTGAGTGACGCCGAGTGCATACGCAAAGTGAATGCCGTCACCGAGAAAATCTTCATTCTGCCTGCGAGCTCCTTCTGCGCTGGTGGTGAGGAAGGAAATGACGCTTGTCAGGTATGTTCATGTCCTCTCCCCAACCTCTGTACAATAAGTACCTTATTATAGTCGTCTCAAAGTAAGTGGCCCGTTTTGAAACTTGTCATCCATGTGAACTAAACCATATGAAACGACTCTCCCGAGAAATCACTTCGAAAGTTTTATGACTCTATGATCGTTTATTATATTTTTCGGGTCATTGGTTTTCATTTCCAGACAGAACAATTAACATTTATTAAGTAATGTAGAGTTTTATATATATAATAAGTAAATATGTTGAATGATCACAAAATCTGTGGTTGCTGGTGTAGGATCGTATTCGAGAACTCTACTCAATGCTCTACTCTGGACTTTGTATTATGTATATGTATTGTACTTTGTATTGAGTATGATTTGAAGCATTAGAAATCATACTCAAGTCCTTGCCATTAGGGTCGTATTTCCAGTGCTTGAAATCAAACTCAAGTCGAGAGTTGAGCATTGAGTAGTGTAGTAGTACATTAACAGTGTTCACGAGGACAGCCTGTGCTCTTGCTGTGCTGTGCGTTGCTATTTAACTAGCAAAATTCTGAAAAAAAAACAAAAAAAGATTAATTTTTATTCACTATCATCGGAAGATGAGCCAAAATCATCAGTTGAAAGTAAAAAAAAGTCAAAAACATCAGGAAGTATCACTTGTGTGTATACTTATTTGATCTTCGATCATATTACCAATGTTAACATCTGTATCGAAATCAATATCAAAAATTTAACATTTTTTAAGTAAAATTGAATTGTCTGTCTAAATTAATTGGTTACAACACTATTGTTTAAAAGAAAGTAGATTGAGGACCTAACTGTTAGGATGTTTCATACAAACTTAAAATTGCATTTTGTTCTAGAATTCGCACGAAAATAATACTTGTTATAATATGTTCTATTATTACATGATGCTTCACTAAAATTAATGTTGTTTGTATTGTTTCGTTGATTGAATATAAAGTTACATAAGGTAGTGGAACCGATGATGATCAGTGCTTTAGCTGTTCATCCAATCGTGGACATTTTTGTCCATAATCGGATTTTATCAATAAAGAGCTTTACTTGTGTTTACTGTCTTTATAAAAGAAGAAATTCCTTCGATCCCGCCGAATTTTTCTGAGTGTTCGATCTTTGTATTAATAATTATAACAAACTAGTGGAATAATTTCACAAAACTTAAAATACATTGAATAGCGACATCTCTCGCCAGCGCTGGTAACTGTAAAGATATCTAACTGGGTGATAAAACTTTCATAGATTTCTTATAGATGGCGCTACGACTTAACAGTCGTTGAAAAAACAAAATACAAAGATACGACGCAATCACCTAGAAAAATTCGTTGGGTCCGCTGGTTCGTTCCGTGGCTTAGTTAGTATAGCGTCTGACACGGTAAGCTAGAAGACGTCGGTTCGAATCCGGCCAGATCGAAGGAATTTTTTCTGAGTGTTCGATCTTTGTATTAATAATTAAAGAGAATAACTAAACAATTTTTTTCCCTTCAATTAGGGAGACGGCGGTGGGCCACTGGTGTGTCAGGATGACGGGTTCTACGAATTGGTAGGTCTAGTCTCCTGGGGCTTCGGCTGCGGGAGGCGCGATGTGCCCGGTGTCTACGTCAAAGTCTCCTCTTTCATTGGTTGGATCAACCAGATCATCTCTGTAAACAATCTATAGTTTGTGGAAGCGTCAAGCGTTATTACTGCCAATTTATGGGCCTCTATAAACCTTCTGCAGTAACGGAACATAGTAATAAAGTAATATTAAGATAGTATTGGAATAGCCGTTAATTTCGAAAATATATCTTTTGTGTTATCTACAAGTACAGGTATTTAGAGTAGTTGAAAGTGATGAGTAAAATAAGGTTAGTTGTTCTAATTGTTCATTAGTTCCTGATGTTTCGATGTTATCGACACTCTGGCTATAAATACGACGAAGCGGTTTAGTTTGTCGGAGTTAAAAAAAATTACAATCCCCAAAAGGTATTTTTCTATTATATTCAGATCGTAAGTATTCTAAATGGAAGTCAAATTGATGATTTCAACTGTATAAGAAAATATGTAAATAATTAACGTTCACTTTTTTAAGAATTGTAGCTTAAGTCTGTTTATAATTATTTATTGGTATTTAGTATAATTTCGATGGCATTTATTTATAATTCCCACCAGTTGTATTCGTTACGCATGCGCTATCTCGTTGCTCTTGATAGAGAAATAAGTTTTTGCAAGACGTTTGAAACTTTTGCGAGTTTTACACATTACAATTGTACTGCTTCAAGTTTCGTAAAGTTCAGTATAATAACTTTGAAATTCATCTTCAGCTTTTCCTCGAAAGTTTATGTTATGTACGCTTCTAGCTTCTAATATTAGGTTTACTTTTGTAGGTTCGTAATTTAGTGAAAACGTGACGACTTTTCATGCTTGGAGTTGGAAACAGCGGTTTTTTGTGAAAGAAAGTGTACGTTTGTTGCTCTGTCTAAAGTCTAGATGTAGCAAGCGTGAAAAGGCCTTGCGTCGTCGATTTATATTTTAGTTGCAAGATGTGCCTTCCTACATACCTATCTATGCCTACGTGTGTAGCATGTATTCGTAGATTAGAAAATTTAATGAATATCCTGGGGAGTAAATTGGACGCTCGATCGGCAACGATGGACACATTGACCGTTGTTTGAAGAATTCGGAATAAGCTAAAAAATATTTATTGTCTCGTCATTTAGCAATTTTTATTGCAATGATGGTAGAGTATGTACTCCCATTGATTTGTTTGGTGCATCCGTTTTATCTGACAACTCTTGAAATAATGGTAAAATTGTCCTCTTTCGCGACAACCTGAGGCGTATAGATCATACTGCCAGATCTTATATTTTCTTTTTTTTTAAACAAACGTCAAAATACTATAACCATTGCCCGTAATGGTTAAAAAAAAGGCCCGAAGTTTTTATTTGGGGCATTATAGTCAAGTTAGCCTGCATGTAATCCTACTATTTACTCACAAATGTATCGAAAAACATTGTATGTTTCACGGGTGGTACGAGAATTATAAACCTCGACTTGAAAGCCCTCAGTGTTCAACTTCGGGCTTCTAATAGAGCCTTGTTCGTAATACCTTATTACCGCCCTTAATGTATAATGTACTAAAAAATCAACAAGAACACAAAGGAAATTCCAAAATATTCGAGTACAATACAAAGCATACATTAAAAGAAACATTTGTGCCGGGATGGCGATCTTCTGAATGTCGATTACCAGCCGGAGGAGGCAAGTCTTCTTACCGGAGGAGGTCTTCCCATATATTGGATAAGGAATACCCGAGGCAACTCCGGGCGACAGCGAATAACATGGTTGGCTTCCATATCAGGCAGTATCCTTGGTACGAATTTGAATTACTTATTTACTTCGCTGGCTTAGCGACCCGAAGTGGATCTTGGCCTTCGGCACCAAAGTATGCCATTTCTGTCAGTCTCGTGCCAATTCCGACCATTCGGACACAGTCAGTTCCTTTAGGTCTTTGGCGACTTCTTCCTTCCAGCAATATCTTGGACGGCCCACTGGACGACGACCCGTAGGTTGCCCCACGTACGCTCTTTTGGCAGCTCGATCCTCTTCCATTCTTTCCACATGTCCTAGCCAGCGAAGTCGAGCAGAATTTGTTTCCCCGATTACGTTTGGCTCATGAATTTGCATTGCCAGCTTATTATGATAATTATACGCTGTAACTTGCCATGATGATTTGTCTTTGAAAAATAAACAACAGATTTGACAAAAGCAGCCTCCACAACATGGCCCCTTACAAGAGTTCTCTCAGAGCGGCGTGAGAGGTATGCGTCGGAGCATCACAAGGTGAACAAATCAGACCAACACTAATGTGTAGTGGGCTGTAGCATTCAGGACATTGTCTCCGTCCACCACGACAAGCTTTCTTCGAATTAGACAAGTGGTCGTCCACGTCCTTAGAGCAGTCCAATGGTTTTAGCTCCTGATCCGGCACGTTTTTGACGCAGTACTTAAACTCCAATCATTGCATGGGGGTCTCCGCGGTCGGGAAACTTATTTTTTTTGCATGCTTTTCTCTATTTGCAATAGCAACTGTTAAGTGTCACTTTTCGTTTATATTAAGAGCCGATTTACCTCAACTGCATCTTGCAGATTTCGTATAACAGTGAAGGCGTTGAATCAATCACTTCTCAAATCAATTTTCACAACATAAAAAAAACACAAACTTATCTCGACATTTTACAAGAAAAAAACCGCTGTATGCTGTGGGTACTTGACATATACCAATAATTTTTTTTTATCAACTGAACTAAATAGAGCACGTATAGTATACGTAATACATTTAAAAAAATTTGAATTCGAACTGAGGTGGTATCGACTCTTAAAGTTTTCTTAATATACTTTTTACGGTGGCATTTTAATTCTGTAAAATAAGACCTGATGTTTTTATTTTTTATGCGCGTTTTGTCCGATGAATGACCTAAGTAAATAAATTATAAAAGTTTTAGTTACAAGCTTTAGTTACGCACTGGCTTCTCCACGAGACTGACATCGGCTGTCCACAGAATGTAACTCGTACCCCTATTGCAAGAAAGTCACAGGTGCTTTGAAACAAGCAAATAGACTTTTTACAATATGCTACCAGAGAATCCTGAAGTTTTTTCGTCATATCAGACAACATTAAGAAACTGGTTGTGGTTGTTAAAGTCTCCACTTTGAAAAAGACGCCGCGGTCGACCAGCCGATGGAGTGAAGCACAGTCACTGGACTCCCTTAACAACTGTCCTGATAGAGGTCGAAGATAGAACCAGATGGAAGAAAATCTTCCATAAAGTCTCCAAAACCTTTCAGGGACACGGCCTTCAGCAATGAAGAAAACGATTTAGAAGAATATATATAAGAAACAAATTACGTGTGTATGAAATTTCATGTCTCTCGTATTTAGTATAAAAAGTTATCTACTAACTTCATTAGTGTTATCATGGGCCAATAACTCAAGACGACAAGTTATCGCGTGTTTATTTACCTGTTGGCACACTGGATGTCGCGGCAAGTACGAGTCGCGAGAGTTCGCTCAGGGAAGGACTGCTACCTTACCTCTTTCTGGACCAAGCAGTAATGGGAGCATTACCTACTTGCGTTCAGGTTTGAAGGGTGCTGGTGAAATTACAGGCACATAGGACTTGGCAACTTATGTGTCGGGGTGACGGGCGCAGTGGCAGTGTCCCTCAGCTCTTTGCGATTTAAAGTTTTGGCGCATGACTTCTCCGTCCCGTCACTGGATATTATAAAAAAAATAGCAATTTTTTTTAATCAATTTGTTTGACATTGAGAAATTGCAATTTATTAAAGCTACTCCTACATTACTTTCTAGTGGTAACAAACAAATCAACTAGATGGCGCTTATGGCACGGAGTTTTATTGATAGTGCCGGCTATTCTTTTATTTTGTTTATTATTAGCGCCATCTACCCAAGTTGGCAAGCGTTCATTGATAAATTAGTTAAAACACAATGCCATCTATTGACACGTATATTTGTCAAAGTTCAGAAAGTAATTTTAGATCATGACCAATATGTTAATAGCATTACAAGGAAAAAATTGATTTCCTAATTTATATATACCTGTAAATAAAAAAACCTAAATGATCTGCTCCTATATGTAAATTTATATCGAATATATCGCTGTCAAAAATTAACGGGTCGCTCAGCTTTGGTAAATAACTGCCAATCTTCTCTTTATCTAAGACTGAAAGAACAAATTCAAACTTACCATCGAGATCTAGAACACTATGTTTAAACAACTTATAGTACTCAACAGTTGTTTCAACGCTTCCAAAAAGCAATGTGTAATCGAATGATTACGAACTGGTTTAAACCCTTATATTGCGGCAACTCGCTTTGAAATATTAGATTTTTGCGGCCCACTGTTAAATAACGCACGCACTTTGACAATTTTGTCATCACATGACATATTATTATTGATAAAGAAGAATTAATAAACTACTTCCAGGTTATTGATCAGCGCCATCTAGATATAAAAGACAGAATTTTGACCTTTCCAGAGCTACGATCTGTAGTGTGGAGATAAGCAGTCCTCTAGAGTTATTGGTACATGGTATCATTAAACCTCTCTCTTGAAAATTGTCATAGGCCTTATTGTAACGACGGCGCGAACTTTCGAACCAGAAATAATTCTTAGGGAACGTTTAATTAGCTCTATCAAGTTAGATAAAAATGAGGTCTCCGGTGTTTTTTTTTTTTGTATATCGTCATGCATACTTATTGGGAGACAGCGTTACACATTTTTACAGAGACTCCGATAAAATTAGAGACAGAATACGAACGACATAAAAAACGTTGTTAGATTAAGATATTGAATAATGGCTTCTTAGTTTTAGTATGAAACCAAACAATAATTATTATTTTATCATACATCGTACATTTTTAGTGTTTTAGTTATTTACTCTACGTTAGAAACAAAGGGCTATGTTGTAAAATAGACGTCGGTGTTATGCTGAATGAAATAAAGCACGATATTCCTTGGAATGTAACTCTGAGCTAAAAAGGTATGTCGGTAGGAGAAAAACGACAGGGCGCGATTTGCGCGAGAATGACACAAAAGCGGCTAGATTCCTTATTAGTAATGCAACGGAAGTGTCAAAGCGGAAACAGATGCCAAAAGCAGATCATGGCAGAAACTGAAACGGAAGCGAATGCGTAAGAAGTGTAAATAAATATATTTTCCAATTTTTTTGGCATCGGTTACCGGAAAGTGCGCGATACCGGGTTCATCCCCGAGTTTGTCATCGTTGGAAGTGGAATAATGATGAAAATTAAAATGGGACCAACACTGAGGGTACCCTCTTTCCAATGAAAAGAATCATCGAAATCGGTTCACAAACGCCGTAGCATTGTTACAAAAAAAATACAATCCAATTAGAACTTCCTCCTTTTTTTAAAATTCTTTTTAAATAGTGCCAAACAGAGCTTATGTTTTGTTCCATAATTGCTCTTAACCACACAAAAGTGCTAAGATGCTATAAAAGTTTCTGTTATAAAAGTTTCACAAACAGATACGGAAACAGATGTGAAAAAGCGTGCGGAATTTCCGCAGTTTCCGAAGCAGAAGCAGAGATCTGTTGCATCACTAATCTCTATGCGAGCAGGTCGCGCCCTGTCGTGCTACAACTACAAAATAAACCATTGCATTTGTTAACTATGTATTTAAACCTTTATTTTCATAGCGATATGATATTAAAGCTTCGTGTTCACTCGTGCTTTTTATTTAGCACAACACCGTTCTTGTTATATATTTCCATTGGATTTTCAAGCCATAATAATATGTCACATGATAATACTAAATTATTGTATTTAGACTTCATTTTTAGTTAGGTAAAGTGTAATTAATATTCATATTCTATAAAAGTGTACATACATA